TGGCTGGAGGAATCTCATGTGGTGGCAGAGGATGTTGAAGTGCCGAGGGCTCCTGGGGGAGAAGCCCTGCACAAACCTGGCCAGGAAGGGGCGTGGGTAGAAGAGCTGGTTGCCCCCACCCACGGGGAAGGCAAAGGTGAGGTTGTGCCTCTCCCCAAAGCGGAAGAGGATGTTCATGACCGTGCTGCTGGCGCTCTTGTGGACCTTCAGGAAAACAATGTCAGTCTTGGGCTCGCACGCCTCCTCTAGAGAAAACGCTTCCTGGCCTTCTCCAAGTGTCACCTCCTCAGCCTTAGAGACTCCTGTCCAGCTTGGGAAAGACCCCCTGTCCAGGTCTGTCTTGTAGGAGTGCTCTGTGTGGGGAGGGGGAGCTGAATTTGGCACGGCATGTTCCAGCAGGCTACTCCAGGGGTGGTGAGGGGAGCTCCTGGCTGGAGGCTGAGGCTGGCTCTGTGCCACCCCCTGCGTCCTCTCAGGTGGGGATGTTCTCCTGGCCTCCTCTGTGGTCATCCTCTTTGCAGAGATGATGAACTTGCTGGTGACGGCGTCGGCGTCTCCCCAAACCGTGGAGGTCCTCCCAGGAGGACTCGGAGGAGGACTCTCCCTGGTTGCTTTTCTCAAGCTGAGAAGCTGGGATTTCAGCCTCGTGGATGGAAGGTGAGCTGTCCCCTTCTTGCTGCTCTCCACAGGCTGCCCCATCCAGGGCTCCTCTGGGCTGCCTGGCTTGCTTTCCAGTGGGGTCTCCTGGCTGAAGTACAAATGCATCTGAAAAACATCCTGCACGCTCTCAGTTGAGGTGGGATCTGGCACGGCTTGCCTCTGCCAGGGCTGGGGATCCTCCTTCCACAGCAAGCCTGGGGTCTGGAGGGCATAGCCAAGCTGCAAATGGCCCATGGGCTGCTGCAGGGCACGCTCCAGCTCGCAGCGGCAGCTCCTGTGGTGGGGAGGATGCAAGGCTCAGCTGCAGGAGGGTGCAGAGAGGACAGCACCAGGAAACCCCCCGGTAGGCACCCCAGAATGTGGCCCCCCCCTCATCTTTCCTGGGGTGGGGGTAGGAATTGACCACTGCCCTGGGGGTTGGGGTGGGTGCAAGAGGAGGAGAATCACCAGTGATGTGCTCATGCCTCTGTCCTGCTGGTGGAAAGAGGCAAAGCAAGAGGAGGAAGGAGAGAGAAGAGCAGGTGGCCTGGAGAAGCTGGAGGAAAGTCTGCAGATGACCCCAGATTGGGACCACTGGGAGGATGCTCAAGGTTTTCAGGAGGGTTTTAAGCCCACTCAGTGGTCAGCAAAAGGCTGGGGGTGGAGGTGCAGGTTTGCAAACCTGCTTGGGACCTACCTGGGAGGCTGCAGCTTCTCAATGACTTGAAGTGTGAACAAGAGGAGGATGAGGAGGCTGAAGAAGACCCAGAGCCGACCTGGCTGGCACCTGTATATTGCTTTCAATTTCCTGCAAGCAAGCAGATGTTTCAGACCATCAGTAGGGAGTAGACACGTCCAGGTGAGGTAGAGGGGAAAGACACCTGGACACCACCTTCAATGATTATTTTTTTAAGGTAAGGTGATGTTTTCATGGGTGGAAGTGGTGCAGAGGCAGCAATCCCCCGTGAACCTCACGGAGGCTGTGTTTGAACACCGTAGCCTGGTGGAAATTTCCAGCTGGAACAGAAATATCCCACCAAAAGTAAACAGTGATAACAACAAGGTCCACTGGCTGCTGGGGAGCGCCCGCCCCGCGCCGCCTGGGCTCCTGCTGGGGCAGCAGGGACGGGCACTGCTCCTGCTGCCCCTGCCCCAGAAACACCAGGAGCCTGTCTGCAGAAACGAGGACAATGGGCCTTTGTTTTCCCTGCTCTCCCCTTCCCTCCACGCCTGCTGCTGGAGGGGATTGCCATCCGAGAAGGCTGCAGATGTGCCGGTGCCCTGGGAAGCCCAGTTGTGCCTCTCTGGTGCATGACCTGCCTTGGAGTCTGGTTTTAGTCCAGTCTACAACAGCAATGTGGCTTCTTCAAGTCATCAGCACTCTGCTGGAGGGGTTTGGGTTGAGTGGGTGGGTGTTCAGGCCCTAAAAAACATTGCTGTGGGACTGGCCCTACTGATGGTAGGGCTTGCTGCAAACCCTGGTGGAGCTTGGTCATGGTCTTAGTCTTCATCTTAAGAGCAGCAGTCTAAGCTTCCTGGGGAAAAGGGGTTAGTTTGAACTTCATTTCTGCTGGTTTCTACCTGGGGAACCTCCTGTTGCCCAGCAGGAGATGATCTGTACTGAGAATCTGGTTCAGTCCTGGTTGTGCATCAGTTGGAACACCCATGGGGTGGGTTCTACCCTGCTCTCCATAATGTCACTGACTGAGCTGAAATGTGAAGCTCATCCTAGGAGATTTTTCCATGTCTAAAGTAGTTTGGACTGTCAAGGTCTCCAGTCATGGCAGTGCTACTGAGGATCCAAAAGGCACAATCCCTAGCACAGTGACCAGGTCAGCACAGCATCCCCAAACCCTGATGGCCACCTGGAGGCATCCATGCTCATTTTCCACTGGAGGAGCAGGCTGCCAAGCTGGATGAGAGACAGGCAGCTGGTGAACATGCACATGGCTCACTGCCTGGCCCTGACAGCAGCACGAGGAGAACCACAGAGCCACTTGGGTTGGAAAAGACCTCTAAGACTGAGTCCAACCATTAACCCCACTCTATCAAGTCCACCTCTAAGCCTTATGCCTGAGCAACACATCTATGTGGCTTTTAAACTCATCCAGGGACTGTGACTCCACCACCTCCCTGGACAGCATGTTCCAATGCCTTCAGTGAAGAATTTCTTCCTAATGCCCAGTCTAAACATCCCCTGGAAAAGCCTCATGCTGTCAAAGACAAACGAGTATGCCAAGCAATGGATCAGAAAAATGGCACATGCTTAAACAGTACTTCAAATATTAAGATGTGTTGAAGGGAGAGAGTTGAAGCAGAGACTGGGGCTGCCTGTGGTATTTAATTATACACCCCAACTGTCTCTTTGGGGACATGAAGCACCCAGCAGTGAAGGCAGAAGGAGGCAACGTGTCCCTGGCATGCAGCACTGGGGGAGGTGACACCTCTGCTACTCTGGTATCTGTATTCTGTGCAAATATTATTCTGGTTTTGCTTCCACAGAGGTCCCTGGTTGGTGCTCAACTCTCTAAAGTGAAAGATCCAGATTTGCTGCTAGCCTGCTGCCTCTTTTTGAGATGGCTGTTGTGTTGGCTGAGAACACACAGCGTGTTCCTGGCTGCTTGGGTCTGATCTGGCTAGCATAAAAACCAGAGCCCTTCCTCCAGGCTGGCTCTGATGGGACCTGTGGGACATCAAGGAGGGTGTGCTGAGAAAGAGAGAGCTGTGATGGCACCGAGTTTGTGCTGAAGATGCCAAGAAATTGCCCTGAAGGCAGCAAGACCAGGATAAAATGCTACATGGAGCAGGAGGAGCCTTTGTCTTGGAGGCTGGATGAGTTTTAGCTGGACAACGAGCCTTCAAAAGGCTCAGCTGCTCCCCATGGGTAACTCCTCTCCAGGATGAGATCATGGGTGTGGGTGTCTTGGCACAGAGTTAAATACATCACATCAGAGAACCAGGAAGATGTCCAAGATGCACTGGGAGCTGGTGGGCGTCGATGTAGGGTGGGTTGGACACCCAGGGCAACCTGCAGAGGCTTTGGAAATGCCTCTGGCTGCAAGCAGGCTGTGGCTGAAGAGCCCCCACGCATCAGAGCCTGTGTGCTGTCACCTCCAAAAGTGACAAAGCAGAGTGCAATGATGGAGGCAGTGCCCCAAAGGTGCCTTTGTCTGCATCAGCAGAGCCACGGCAGCTGAATCCTCCTCCACTGATGGATTTAATCAAACCCCAATCTGTTAATCATGCTGATGCCCCCAGCCATGCCTCACTGCCAGCTCCTGGTAGGGGAGGGGGTCCCTGGGGTGCTGCTTGGCAGCAGGCACTGCTTGAGTGCAGCAAGACTGGAGATTTCCCCTCTGTTTTTATCCCTGTGCTTGGAGCAGAGAGGATGACTTGCCTTCCTCCAGCCTTTTCCCCTTCCCTGGCCAACACAACAAGCAGCACACGGCTCAGGGTGGGTCTGGGGGTGGCTGGCAGGTCTCAGGTGCTGTGGGAGGTGCTGAGGTTGTGGGCACTGGCCAGGTGGGTGGCAGAAAGAGTCTTTTTTGATTTGCAGGGGCCAGATATGCTCCAGGCAGGGAGCCAGGTTGTGCAGGGAGTGACCGTGCACGCCACAGGCCAGCTGCAGCCTGCTCCCAGAGCCCTGCTCTGTGCTCACACCACAGATCAACGAGGACACAGGGGCTGCAGGATGCTCAGGAGATAAGGTAGGACAGCAAGGGCACTGTCTGCCTGCCTTGGTGCCCAGCCTACCCTTGAAATAACTGGGTTAGGGGAGACCCTGAGCCCCCCAGCACTGCAGCTTGGTGTGCTGGCTGCCTGCAGAGCTGAGAGCAGCGAGCCCTTGCTCAAGGTGAGGCAGGGAGGGGTCAGCATCCTGCTTGCCCACCAAGGTCTTTGCCATTCTTCTCCCTTTGCTGTATCAGGCCTTACAAAAGATGCTCTTTTCCTGCCTAGCATGAGGAGGACAGTGCTGCCCTTGGAGCTTGACTAGGAGAAGAGCCATCAGCCCAGACCTCCCTCCATTTATGCAGAGCAGAAGCTCTCCCCTTCCCATTCCCATCATCACTTCCACCTCCAGCCCTTTCTCAGCACAGAGGAACCTCCAGGGACACGACCTCTGGGGGGGTAGGGTGGAAACAAAATTTTTACTTAAGGAAATAACGTTTTACTCCACTAAATAAGAGATCTACTTACGTGACCAAATACCTTCTGCACTTCAGCATGGCGAGCCGGAGCCTTGGCTGGGGAGCGGGTGGTTCTCATCAGGCTGGGAGAAGAAAGCAAACACCCAGAGCCTGGCTGGTGTGCCTGCAGCTGGTGGCCCCTCCCCGGGGGCCAGCGAGCCCTGAGTGGACCTTCCCACCAGTGCCCTGCTTTCCACACCTGCCCCGGGGAGTGACCAGCCCCAGGCCGGTGACTGGCACGGTTACCCGGGCACAGCCAGGGTTTAAACCAGGGTTTAAGCCAGGGTTTAAACCAGGGTTTAACCACTTCTGGCTCTGGGCACCCCTTTCCTGCATTTCCATCTTCAGGCTGGTTTCCCATGTTCCTCCAAGCCAGCAAAGTCCTCATCCCCCCCCGTGCTGGGGCTCTGCTGTGTCAGGATGACCAGCCACAGCACTGCCCTGCTAGGAAGGTTGGGTTTTTTTTTGCTGGTACCAGTAGAAAATGGTTCACTGGAGCTGCTCCTTGCTGGCTGGTGAACAATGTAAGAGCTCAAAGGAGGACTGGGAGGCTGCCCTCCACGATGGAGGTCCACAACCAGTCCTTTGGCCAGGGTCTCCTCCCTCTCCAGTAGCTTTTCCTCCACATCTTTCCCCTTCAAGGCTCACCCCATCATCCTGTAGAGCACGAGCAGGACACAGCTATGGCTTTGCACGACCAGGGAGCCCAAGCCCAGGCAGTGGGGCTGCCTGCTTCTCATACTGGGGCACCAGGCACCTCCTGGGGGTGGTGGAGACGGAGGACTCCTGGCTGCAACGTGTGCCACGGCTCAGGGGCTCGTTCTGCAGGGCCCAGGCTCCCCACCTGCCTCCTGGCACAAGAGAAGTGGACCCTGGCAATTTGTTCTCCTTCACCTCTGCCCATGGGTGTCAGGAAGCACATACCAGACAGAGAAGTCACTTCCCCCCCAGACCTTGGCTTTCTGGAGGAGCTGCAGACCCTCCCTGTGGGGCAGGGAGCAGCGTTCCCCCCACCTTGGCAGGGGCAGGGGCTGCCTCTCCCTGTCAGCCTCACCAAAACCACAAGTTTGCTGTGGGGCTGTTGGGTTCCCCACCCATCCTGCACGCCAGCTATCTGCCCAGGCTGGCTGGCAGCTTATCTGGGAGCCTGGGGCTGGCTGAGAGCCGGGAGGGAGCTGGAGGTTTGCAGGGATTAAACCCTTTCCTGCTGTTGGGACTCACAGTTGGTGCTTCTCCCCTCTCCTCCCCGCTGTCCAACCATGCCCATGCAGTCTGAGATGGGTAATCCTGCCTGGGGGGCCAGGGGGATGTGGGGTAGGTGCACATTTAGCATCCCCCAGGCACAGACCCCACCTGGAGTGCTGTGTCCAGCTCTGGAGTCCTCAGCAGAAGAAAGCCAGGAACCTGTTGAAGCAAGTTCAGAGGAGGGCCACAAAAGTGATCAGAGGGCTGGAGGATGTCTCCTGGGCAGAGAAACTGAGGGAGGTGGGGTTGTTCAGCCTGGGGAGACCTTACTGCAGCCTTTCCACACTTAAAGGAGGCCTTTGAGAGAGGTGGAGACAATCTTTTTGTAGGACCTGTTGGGATGGGATATAGGGTAATGGTGTTAAACTAAGGGAGG